TTGTTTCCTTACTGAGAAGTAGTCAACCAAAGGACAAAAGAGACAGGCTATTAATATTATCAACAACTGCTGAGGCCAAACAACCAGAGTGGAAAGGATGGAAGTATTTCATTATTGAGGTTGTGAGAATTATTTTTCATCTTCTTTCTTACTTCATTTTTTTTTCTCTTTTTTTCTTTTCTTTGAGGGGGTGCGATCCATTTTAAACCTTTTTTTGTCGTTATATATCACTGGGCGGACAGCTGGGTGGTCTTTTCGCCAAGAGAAATATTTGAGAAGTGTCAGTTGCCTGTCAAGAGGGAAAAAGAAAGTAAAATGTATTTCTTGTGCCTTTTTGACATTATTATTATTGTTATTATTATTATTATTATTATTATTATCATTATTATTATTATTATTATTATTATTATTATTATTATTATTATTATTATTATTATCATTATATTATTATTAGCTCTCCTGTTTCTCCCCCGTTTTTTTCTCTTATTTCTCCTCGTTTTCACCTTAAGGAGAGAGAGAGAAGAGGGAGAAGATAGAAGAGAGACACCGAGAAGAAAGAAGAGAGAAAACAAGAAAGAGAAAAGGTGGGAGATAGAGGAGACACGAAAGGGGAAAAGGAAACGGAGAGTGAGAGGAAGATATTAAGTATATCAATAACATTTTTTGATTTTGAAAGAATTTTTTTCAAAATAGAGAAACAATAATAACCACAACGTTTATTGTAGATCTGATAATGATTGTAATTAGTTCCGTATCTGCATCAAAGAACCTGTTGTACATTGCGATCTATTCACTAATTTTGATACACCAAGAGAGGGAGAAATTGCTAACTGAACCATGAGGCAGAATGTACAATAAATGCATTTAATCATGTAATTATGCCATTTTTTCTCTTTGTGTATGTGTGTTTCTCTTTGTGTATGTGTTTGTTCGAGCTTTTTTGTTTGTTTGTGTGTTTGTTTTTCTGTGTGTGTGTGTGTGTGTGTGTGTGTGTGTGATGTGTGTGTGTGTGTGTACACGGGAGGATATTTGTGTTTATTTGTGTTTATTTGTGTTTGTTCTTGCTTTGGGGGGGGGGTGATTTTGACCTTTGGTGAAAAGTGCCATCTCCCCCCCCCCCCCCCCGCCGAGCCACCCCAGTTAATAAAATCTTATGCTTCCTGTACTGAATCACAATAAAAATAACAGAAAACCAGAAATGTCGTTGAATAGAGAAAGAGAGAGAGAGGGGAAGGGGAGGGCTAGAGAGGAGGGAGAGAGAGGGAGAGAGAGAGAGAGAGAGAGAGAGAAAGAGAAAGAGAGAAAAAGCAAACAGACACCCAAACAGAAAAAAAAATTAACAAAATCTAATAACAAAACACCATCACTGTAACTCAACGATGAAATGCATCCGCCCCGACGACCTTCTGCTTGGCCCCCTCCCCCCTGCCCTGCCCCTTCCCCCTGCCCTGCCCCTCCCTCCCTGCCCCTGCCCCCTCCCCCTCCCCCGGCCCCCATCCTGCCGGTTCTCCTCCGACAGCACTCGACGATGGCGGTTCCGAGCGCCAGGCAACTGCCGGTCCCGAGCAACGTGAAAGCGCCGAGGAAGTCGAACAATCTCAAAGGCTGAAAAGATGCAAAATTGCAATCGCGCTGATGATGGCGACGATGATGGCGGTCATAATTATCGTTATTAGAATTCTGATTGTTCGTCCAGCCATGTGTATCTGCACGCACACACACATGCACACACACACACACACACTATCGTTATTAGAATTCTGATTGTTCATCCAGCCATGTGTATCTGCACACACATACACATGCACACACACACACACACATACATTCAAAATATTTCTATGCACATATGTATATCTTCCTATCTATTTCTATGTTTCTATGCATATATGTATATCTTTCTATCTATTTCTATATCTCTGTCCATATACAGGCATATATTCATACCAATCAACCTGGTTATCTACCTATCTTTTAATCCACAAAATAACCGGAAACATATCAGTATATACGTATTTACATATGCCTCTGTTACTGTACCTCCGTGGATGACATTTGGCTCCTGTTTCTGGATCTCTCATTCGTCGGCCAATATCTCTTCTTCCATTTGTCGAAGAGCCCCGTCTCCTGCATTCGTATGATCCTGAGAGTCGACGAAAGGGAGAGAGAAAGAAAGAGAGAGAGAAAGAAATCAACATTAGAAAAAAAAGAGAGAAACGAAACAAATAAATAAGAAAACAGAGAAATGATAAGGTAAAAATAAAGGATAAGGCTGGTTTTCCCGTTCGGAATTCAAGCCCATATATCACAGAAAGAAAGAAAGCAACATTAGAAAAAAGAGAAACGAAACAAATAAATAAGAAAACAGAGAAATGATAAGGTAAAAATAAAGACCATGCTGCTTTTCCCGTTCGGAATTCAAGCCCATATATCACAGAAAGAAAGCAAGCAATATCTCAATATCTCAAGGGTAATATCTCAATATTGCGTGTTTGTATTTTCAGAAAGGATCAAGGGAAACGTGTGCTGTGGGATTAGATTCCTTCAGAGTCTTAGGATTCTTTGCCAAACTGGATCTGAATCGGAGGTTTCTCGGAAAAGCTGCGCCTCTCGACATTTATGGTCATTTGTATCCAGATCAAGTTCTTTCAGACAGTGTATGTGTGTTTAGCTATCTATATATCTATTTCCCTATCTCTCTCTCTCTCTCTCCATCTCTGTCTCTCTCACTCTTTCAGAGAGAGAGAGAGAGATACATGTGTGTATATATATACATATATGTATGTATATATACATATACATGTAAATATATATATATATATATATATATATATATATATATATATATATATATATATATATATACTATACATACACACATATATACATATATATATATATATATATATATATACATATGTATGTATGTATATTTGTATATGTATATATGTATATAGTGTCCCTATCCTCCCTGCCTCCCTTCGCACAACCCGCCCACCGCCAACGACCCCACCAACGAGAGATCTCTCCTCCTTACTCCTTGTCGAAGAGGACCTTGAGTGGATCGCCCTCGGGGAACACCCAGCCGAAGTTGGCGGGGAAGAAGTGGGACTTGGCGAGGGCGAGACGGTACTTCCCGCTGGCGTTCGAGTCCTCCTCGATCGCGAAATCCAAGTAGGACTTTTCCTGGTGGAGGAAAGGAGGGTGAGGTGCCTGTGGGGAGGGCGTGAGGGGAGGAAGGGGGTGAAGGAGGAGGAAAGAGGGGAGAAAGAAAACGAGGAGAGGAAATGGGAGAGTGAAAAAGAAAAAAAAGGGAAGAGAGAAAAGCGACGGAAAAAGTGTGGCGAAGAAAAGGATAGAGAAAACGGGAAGGGAGGAAAATAAGAAAGAAAACGGGAAGAGGGTAAACTGAGACAGAAAACCGGAAGAGAGAAAAGGGAGAAAGAAAACCGGAAGAGAGAATAGAAAGAAAGAAAGTGGCGAGACTGGAAAATCGAAAAAAAGAAAGAAAAAAAGGAGGAAAAGGTGACCAGATTCTAAGATACGAGAGAGAGAAGATGGAGAAAAGGGAAAGAGAAAAGGAATAGACAAAACGGAGAGAAAAAAAAGGGACACAGAAAAAAGGGAGAGAGGGGAGAAAGGAAATGGACAAAGAAGAGAGAGGAGAAAGAAAATGGATAAAGAAGAGAGAAGAGAAAGGAAATAGAAAAAAAGAAAGAGGAGGCAGGGTAAAACAAGAAAGAACGCAGAGAACAAAACATAATAGGGGGAAATGAAGAAACAATAGGAAAGGAAGAACAGAGAAGAGACGAATAGATACAAAAGAACCATAATAACTTGGTGAAATACGGAGAAGGGAGAAAATAGACACGGAAGAGAAGGATAGAGGAAAGAAAGGAGGAAGCGGGAGAGAGAACAAGAACAAAGTGAAGAGAGGCTTTGAAGGAATAAGTGGAAAGGAAATTAGACGGGAATAGAGTTAATTAAAGGCGGAGAACAAGAGATCTGAGTTAATTATAGAGAGAAAGAGGAGAGAGAAAAAAATGTGAAGAAATGGAAATAGAAAATAAGAATGGGGAGGCACTTAATAAATGAATAATAAAGGGAATAAGATAAAGAAAGATGGAAAGAAATGGCTAATCTTTCATGATAATTAATCATAGTGAGTGATAATGCAGCCATGTGTATCTACACACACACAGACATGCACACACACACATAAAGAAAGATGGAAAGAAACGGCTAATCTTTCATGATAATTAATCATAATGAGTGATTTTGATTACTGCAATAACAAGTAAATGAATAAACACCTGCTTCTTAGATGGACTCACTGTAAACACAAATTAACAAAGGTTAGTAATTGAGGTATTAATAATATTGCGAATACATGCTAATGCGCTAAAATTTAACTTCCAATACATGTAGCTGATTTTTTTTTTCTTTTTTTTTCTTTTTTGCTTTATGCTTTGTTTATAAATCATATTTTCATAACGTGTTTCCTTTTCTTTTTTTTTTTTTTTTCTTTTTTCCCAGAAAAAAGAAATATCTGTGGATGCTTTATTTTTTTCTTTATACATATGCTCCCTTCCCCCTTTCTTATTCCTCATTTCTTTCTTCAATTCTTTCTTTTTTTTTTTTTTACAAATTCCTCCTCCTCAAAATGGAAACAAACAAACCTCAACATAGACTGTAATCACTGGAATGAACAAGCAACATAAAAAGATGTATGCAAACGATCGTGCAATTTCGAGAAGGTAAACACTGTATGTAAAAGCAAACAGTAACAAGAGTAAGGATTCTCTAGGTAATTTCACCGCCCTTATAATCAGGGATTCCCGATGATTTGTCAATAAAGCGGAAGAGAGTGGAGAAGGGGAAGATGGTAGGTTGGGAAAGAGATGAAGAGGAGGAAGAAGAGGATTGAGGAGGATGAGAGGGTAAGATGATTTAAAGAAAATGGGAGGCGAGTGGAGAGGATTAAAGAAAACGGGAGGCGC